ATAAAAAATCCATGGAAAAAACTTTCCCCCGGGACACAAGTCCGCATTCCAGAGGTTGGCAAAGCTGGGCAAAGTTCGGAAGGGTCAAAAGGTGGGTCACACAATTTGAATACATCTATATATAAAGGGATGAGCCCCGAAAGTCACTGAAAATAACGTTTTCTCCAAAACATAGTTTTTGAGAGTACGCTATGCCAATTAATCTCCGATAAAAACAACAGGAGCTTACATATAGAACAAAATATTCTAGGTGTTTGCAAGACGCTTTCTAGTAAGAATACTTAATATTTGGATTTAATTTTTCTAGAGTGTGCAATTTAAACAAGCCGTTGGCATCACAGACAGAAGAGAAACCGCATTAAATATTAAAAATGTCGTTTGGCCAACTTTGCAAGAGTTTTGGCCTGGCCCGCGGCAAGCGAATAGGAAAGCTGGACATTGTCCTCGCTGGTGGTCAGAAGTTGGATCCGGATCTGTGGCCACTTGCATGCATAATTGCACTCGCCGCATCTCCCCCATCTGTTTGCATCCAAGTCTGAAACTAAATATTCCTGAATGCTCAACCGCACACTGTCCGTTTGTTGTCGAGATAACGAGGACGAGGAGCTTTATTTGGCTAATATAATTTCGATTTGGAGGCTTTATGGCGAGCCTAACTGATGCCCCCGCATGTACGTACATATTACCTTAAGACAATAGTGTTGTGACTATAAGATACCCGTTACTTACCGAATGGATGTGTGAGGGAGGGAGGTGATGACACGCAAGCTCCACCTAGCGGCTTTTGGTATTGAATAGGAAACACTCAAATAGATGGTCTGATTCGATTAATTTTCTGTTGTAACTTTATGGGTATGGAAAAAACATCCCATCGTTCCATCAGTTTTTATAAATAACTGAAGAAAACAATATTTTTGATATTCGTCTGTTTCAATGCGAGTTATTTTTAATTCCAACTATCGAGCATCCTTAACTTGCATTAGTATTATTGAGCAGAGAATATTTCATTGTTCGGACTTACCTTATTTTCAGAAATGCACAATTTTGGGTTCCCAGTATTGTGTTAAGGCAATAATGGTGCTAGTTAGTGCTTGTTTTTATATCATTTCCATTTTACTTTATTTTTAATTATGCTCAAAGGTACGAAATACATTGAACTATTTGTTTTGGTTTGGTTTAGTTCGGTTTGGTTGTAGTTTTGTGTATGATCTATGTCGATCTGGGGATCTGTTGTTTCTAATAAATAACTTACATGAGACAAACGTTGGGATCGATACAATACAATGCGCTTTAATTAAGGGGGAAATACTGTGTGTGAAACCAAAGTCCTGCTCTATTTCCAATGTAAATGGTTTAAATATGTCGAGAATAGAAGATTGAAACCTCCATGAGCGGGGGTTAAGTGATTATTTTCGTTTTTGCTTCTCGGACAGGTCTAGTGTATAGTATTTTGGATATAATTATGGTTTTTGCAGGCGTTCGTCGTTCAGTTGTATGTATTCCTTATACTGGTTGGTTGCGTTATTATTATACCTAGCTAATGTTCATGGTTTAACAAAATTAACCTTTGGGCTTTCATTATATTTAACTTTTTTGATTGATGCACATGCATGAATTCAGGCACATAGATACAAAAGCAACAGGACTATCAAAGGTAAATGGGTAAACTAACTGAACACTTCTTTCGACTAACCAGCATTTCGGTTACGAATCCTTTCACAGGAATTTCATGGTTGAGGTGACAATTTAGGCGGGAACTGTATGTAAGAGTTGTAGTGATTGCTGTAGGTTTTAGGGGGTTTAATCAACGATGGAATGTTCTCTAACTTTGCATCTAGCGGGGAGTAGCCACAAATATATTATTCGTTTACTACCCATACATATATATTCATGTACATATCGTCTATTTGTAATCTGCATATTGCACACTTAACGCTTTGGGCTTTCTCCGAATTTCGTTCGGTAATAATCTCTTAATCGTAGGGTAATAAAAAAATACATCTTTCTCCATTTAATAATTAAACATTTCATTCAGTTTTTGTCCTTCTAATGCTCGTTTTTGTTTTTCATTCGTCTAATCTGTAGTTTTAGCGTAATACAATTTGCAACTAGACTAGATTTAATTAATGTATAATTTTTGTATACATATATTTCCGTTCTCATTCTTAGGGGTATTCTTCTCGAGAGACTTAAAAAAATTCCAAATCAGAAAAGGTTTTTTCTTTTGGCTACTGATTTAAATAAAAATAAAACTAGTGTAATTTTTGTATGCCGAATAAAATACTTGACAACAATTTTGGCTTTAATATTACCGTATAAACGCTATTTTTCCATTGTCACAAATCCAATTTAAGGACAGCATAATCTTACTTAATGCCCGAGCTTATAATAGAAGAATACCCATTCCCAAATTGTTATCTCCTTCATATAGTATATATATGTATAAATAATTCTGTATAACGACTCATGGCATTCAGGTTCCTCAGATCCTTTCTGTCGGATTTCCTCAGCATTCGTTCCTCAGTATTGCCTAAAATATACATCTAATAATACTCAAAAACACAAGTCTAAACATTTTATGTGGATCCCTCTCAAACGGCCGTTTCATGGTCCGTTTCATCGATCCTTCCAAGGCGCCAAGAGTTCGGATCCCCAGCTAAAATGTGTAGATGAAAAAAGAAGGAAGAAAAAGAAGAGCATATTTACATTCATTTTTCAAGTAACCGGACGATAAAAGGATGAAGAGGTGGAGACCAAAATTTCCCATGTTTAAGGAACACTTTACAAATACGTTTTACGTTTGTCCAAGGCAATGGAAATAACAATTTAAAAACTTTTGCATGCACAATTTAAAAGCAGGCACACGAACGGTCACACTACATAAATTGTAACACCAACTGAGAGACAGAGAGAGATAGTTGTATACACAGAGAAAGAGATGAAGACACACACAGGCTAGCATACATACACAGTGGGCTGCTGTTGCTGTTTCTAGAATTTAGGGTCTACTTTTTGGACCCTTGCAGAGGGAATGGGGTTATTGCATTCTGTATGTAGTTAAAAGTGCAATCGGACCATTATTAATTAATCTCTCAGTTTCAAAATTGTCTATGGTGCTTTTATCTTTTAACAAGTAAGTCCATACAAAAATCTTTACACTGATGTCTGAAGGGAAGCAGTGAAATAATAACTTTAATCTTTAATCTAAATCAACGGGTGATTTACAATCCAGGGTTAACGCTATGATAGAAGCCTGCTTACTATTTTCGGAACGTTCAGGCAATATTCGGACTACAATCAACCAATAGCATCGGTCTGCAAGGGCATTTGTGGTTCCGGTGACCGAAACTTAAGATCCATTTCCCTATAGCACGTTCGACTTACCGCAATCGTAATACTTCGATATCCTAGGCAGGGCTGTTTCGTGGTGGTTGTTGGTTTTGATTGGTGGTGTAGTTGTTGTTGTTGTAGTTTTGTTGTAGTTGATTAACGTTTATGATGGAGTTTTGGTTTGGAACGTTTACGTTAGACATACAACGAAATTATAGTCACCGAAAAAATAGAAAATCAAATACATAAATTTCATCACAAATCAAACATAGATATGTATGTATAAACTGGTTGTTGTCGATCGTGGAAAATCAGTAGAAAAACGTGGTTAGCATAAAAGGGTGAGAGAATCGATCACATGAATAAATGTTACACAGAAACAACTTTGATTGTGATACATCCATCACGTGATTAAATTTGAAACAAGTGAATACACACTAATTCTAAAACAGATGTAACGCCTGCCATCTAATTGGAATCGAATGCCATTTTTAGACGCTCTAATCAAATCGCTGGTATTTTTAGATTGCCCGTTTACTTTCGCGAGTCAATCACGGGTGATAATAAACTAACTTGATACACAATATAATTTGAAAAACCTAAACTACACGAACGCCCTACAAAAACCCATATTAGAGAGTTTCCCCTGACAAAATTATAGCATAAACAATCCTCTTGAAGCGAAACATTTAACCTGTAGTAAGAAAAAAGCTACGGTATCCATACTGAGTTACATATTCCCATGAGCTGCGAATCAATACGCCTTCAGTTTAAAACAGGTATTGCAAATGGGCGGAAGTGAGCGGGCGTGGGGCGTGGCCGGGCGGAGGGGCGTGGCATGTGCGTACTGTCGCCGGCTGCACTTTGTGTGTGAGTTTATGGGCATGCATGCTGCAATTTAGTTTTCCGTATTTAATGATTGTTTGCATAGCCGATCGCATCGATTAATGCACGCCCTGCACAAATTCATACCCCATACAAAACGGAATCGATCGCAATCAGCACGCGGCGATCGCGACAACAGCCAAATTGTTTAATTAAATAACAAATATTGTTTTGTTTTCCTCGTGGGGCGGCAGGCCAAATAATGCGAATTAAAATAAAAAACATATAAATGCCATTAATGATGTCAAATGGCTGAGCGCGTGCCTATGCCCTTTAAAACGAAACTCGCCTGCGGATCGACTATTGGATTCATCTGCAATAATCTGCAACTTCATCGTGATTATGTGTTTTTTTATTAGCTTTCGGTTTTTGGCTTGTTTACATTCACATTGATTCCATTACGTTTATTACACTTTCTTGGGGGAGTATTGGATTTGGGGATTCTCGGATTTACGGGTACTCGGGATTATGTACAGCAAATATATATAGCGTATGTACAACAACTTAGGCTATGTATTGCTTAACATTATCAAATATTATTCGTTATTAATTCTAATTAGTTTTCACGCTTTCTTCTAGCTCAATTTGTATGCAAATCAACCAACGAATCAACGAAAAATACGTATGCATATAAAATACAAAAAATAATAATGTGTTAATGGAAGATTTAGAGACTTGATGGTTGTGCCAGCACAGTAAATTTCCAGTAAATGCCAAGCGATAAGAATAAATTGATTTCAAATAAAGCGTGGAAAACTCCTGGCCCAGCGGAAAGTTCATTTATCACCTATCCCCCCTGTCACTAGACACTAGACTGATCGATCTTGAGATCTGGAATCGGTAATTGAAGCTGAAGAGTTGTAATCAAACCAGTTTCCATACCAGTCATTATGCTAGCAATCGTATCAAGCTGTTAAATACTCATTATAAGTTCTTAGAACATGGTCTGCGTCTACAAAAGTTTTCTTTATTGCACGAGTGTAAAGTCTTTTTTAGAAGATCGACTAAGTGGTACTTAAAAACTTCTTCGACTCATGTTCAATTACTACTATAAAATATTTGTATATTGCATTCTATATCAAATAATACTAAATCCAATTCAAACTCAAAACCACAATTAATTAATTTCAAATTTAAACCTTGGTTGGCTTTCTGATCGTGTTCAATTGAAAAACCCACTCAAACTGAAACTAATTCATGTGCAATCAAGTGTCTTGTCTGACTACAACTCAACATACAACCATGATCATTCAAAATAAATTACAATTTTTACAACTGGTTTGACTGCAGTTAACGATAGTTTTTGCGAAGGATTCAGGGAGCATATTTCAACAGTGTTGCCATGTAAGTAAGTTTCCTACTTCTTTTTTTTGCGTTTTCTATTTGAAATAATTGCTTTTTTTTACCGTGGGATACAAGTATATTAGCACGGTTTTAATTAAATAGTTTTAGTGAAAAAATATCTTTCTTTTTTTTAATGAGGGTCTACATGTTAAGATTTTGTCTACACTGCTAAGTAGGGTTGTCACGTAAAATTATAAAGAATTTTAGGCAGTGTTAGCAGTTTCCTAGATTTTAGTGAGTTACTAAACAAACTACACAAACATGTTAGTTTTGTTATTTCCCTGTTTAATAGGTAATTGTTAGGTAATTGAAGAACACTGCTGAATAGGGTTATAAGGCGAAAAGAAGAATCATTTTTGTTCATATCCGTAAACTTTTTTAGTTGTTTATGTAAGTTCTTATAGCCTTCTAACTGGCAACACGGTGTTTCGGAATATTTCCGCTGGGACGAAAAGTTTATGTTTCCCAATACGATTAGTTTACACAAGAACTCAAGTCTCTGGCTAATTGTTTGCAGTAGTGGGGTAATACAAAGTTGGCTATTAGAACGATTAGATGTGTTAGATGTTTGTTTAGCTAGTGCTAGTTGCTATGCTAGATATGAGATGACTATATATGGGACTCAGGATGCGGATTTTGATGGATAGTTTCCAGATTTCTTCGACAGCGCTTTTCGCTTTTCTGATGATCGTGAAGTTGCTGTTGTTGTTGCTGCGCGTGATTGATGACTGACTGATGACTGATGGTGGTTTGCGTGTGTGGGTGGTGTAGTTTTTCTGGTTGTTCTTGTGCAGGTCAAAGGTGAGAAGGGACGGATGGGTGCTCTGTTTTCGGTTCGTGGCAAGTTGAGCAGCAGCGGGCGATTGCATAAATTCAGATTGCACTTTGCTCGATGTTGTTGGCGCTGATTGTTGCATCTTGTACGCGTTGTTGTTCAAGTTGTTGTTGCAGTAGTTGTTGTTGTTGTTTGTACGTGCGACCGAGTAAAGGAACATGCTCGTCTAAAATTAGAGTTTCGGCGTAGAAAAGGTAAAAGAAAACGAAACAAAAAATCAAAAATGCACCAAAAATACGCAGAAAATATAATACAAACAAAAATGGAAAATCATAAGTTAAACTATGTTACGGGCTTCATTTAAGTGAGGTTAGGTTGTTTCGCCATGCAGAAAGCGTGCAAACAGAGATAGAGAGAGATAGTGACAGGGGGGAGGGAGACACACAAACTCGAAGTGGAGAAATCAAGAGCCCCAAACATCAAGAATGGTAATAAAAGCGTGGGGAAGAGCTAACCACAGCAGCGGTCACTAAAATAATACCGAGGGTAGATTTTAAAAATCCTAACAACACTATTTCAATATCATACTGTTTTTTAGATTTAACATTTACAGAACACGGATATGAAATGTTTTTATCTTTAATTTGGTGATTATGACTTTAAAGAATACTAATGTAGATGGTTATGTGCATTTATAGTCATTTAAATAGATTAAAAGATCATTGGTTCTAAGTATGTTAATGTTAGAGCGCTAGTATTACAATTTTTACAAAATCCAATTTCCTAGGTTTTAAAGCTTTGTTAAATATTTTTGCAATCAGCTAAAATACTATTATTAATTTACGCCTGCTAGGGGATTTGGAAAATGATTGCAAATCATGTTGGTTTGGTTTGCTAATTTCTGGCATTGTTACTATTTTGTTAACCGCCGCTGTACATGATTAGGTTAAGAAGTTTGGATGGCTGACAGAGCCGACCGGGTCAAGGGTCATGGGGGCTTCACTCACCCTGTAGCTGCCGGTTGATCAGGGCCGTCAGTCCGTGTCCCACATCCACACTCTTCTTGAGTATCAACATGGGCTTGTCCTCCGCATCCTCAGCATATCCACCAGAGGGCAGGAAGCCATTGCTGGCTATCGACTCGCTCACCTAGAATCGAAAGGGCATACCGATTACAAAGTCTTGTTTATAAATAACAGCTTGTATACGGATAATAGTTTCCTTAATCGCAGCCTATTGATTGGCCTATTGATTGATACTCTGCGTAATTAAAGTTCTGGGACTAACCTGGGTGACCTGCATCAGCTTCTTGACCACATCCCGGCCGAGAATGTGATCGAAGACGGTCTGCAAGAAGGGCTCGGCCATAATTGACAGTTTGAGCTTGTCGCGATGCCAGATCAGCACCCGCGACTCCTCCATGGCCATGATGGAGACCTGTCGTCGTGGGACAAAAGTACGCAGATTGGTTAGTGAGTAGATTGAGTTGGTGACGAAGCGCACCTACCTGAAAGTAGTCATCGGTCGAGACGCCAAACCATTCCGGCGAGTCTAGGAACTGATGGGGAAACACAATGTGCAGGGCGCGCTGATGCTGCGACACCACCAATCTGTGGATAAAAGAGCATCGGTATTAGGCATCCAAAACGCGGAAGTCCATCCTTTGAGCACTCACTTGCCGCTCAGCACCAACGACAGGCTGTCGACCTTGGTGACCTTCTCCTGGGCGTAGACCTCCTGGTACTTGAGGGCACGTATCACCTTCATGCAGTTGAGCACCTTCTTGAACTGATGGCGCGTCACGTGCAGCGGCTGGAAAAGTGCCGTGTACACCTGCAAGTGGAGTCGATAAAGTTGATGGTTATTGCGACAGCTACAGATCAATTAAATGTATTTATTAGCATATTATATATGAGGTATGTATTTACTGGTGTTCAATATTTGTGTGCTCGTCGGACTTAGTGTAAATAGCGTTGCTATTTAGCGTATTTCCCTACTGGCATCTAATTATTACGAATCGGCTTGGTGACGAGCCATTCGCTGATAATCACACAATGCATCCATTAAAAAAACGTTCATTAAACATAATTTACGCGATTAAATAAATATTTACCGACAACTGAATAATAGTCGTTAGCCGGAAAGGGTAGCCTACACCCGATAAGAACAATATTAATTACTTAGAAAACATGTTTATATTTGTATTTTATTCAAGCTAACATAAACTCAAAGTTTCTCTTGGAACTTTCCACTTATTCCTAATAAGGCATCAAGGGGTTCTAGCCAATGGCCAATTTACATGCCCGTGTGCCAAATAAAGTAAAGTGGCTGGGCAAACAAATGCAGCCCTAGTAACGGAAACTTCCGATTTTCTTGGCCAACTCACATGGAGATCGATAAGACAACAATCCCTGTTGCCAAGTAGATGTTGTTACACTCAGCACTGAAAATCAAACAAACAAACAACTGAAATGGGTAAATATTATCGCCGATCGAGAGTGTTAACTGCTTTGCATAGCGTCAAGTACAACAAGAACACGCCCCCTTTTCCCACCTGGCTCGCTGGTCTTATTTTAATGAGGCTACACTGGGCGAAACGATTACTTCTAAGCACTCCAGAGGAACCTATCCCCTTTGTAACACAGAAACGTTGCGTATCACTTAAAAGAAACAATGAACCACAAGAACCCAAAGGCAAAAAGACAAGAAAAATGTACATTCAACAACTTTTTTCTTTCCGTGTGCTTGTGTAGCGTGGGCGTGGATGAGCTTTGGGCCAGCTAGATACCAAGTTCCCCACCGCCTCGAAGATCGAAGAGCCAAGACAGCGATCACATGGCCAAAATGTAAGACTCGTGGTAGCAACAGCCACACACGACAACGTTAACTTGTTGCCATGCTAAAATTTCGAGTGCTTTGCTGACGCAGCCGTTAGACGGGCCAGCTTGAGACGACTATAGCCCCCCATCCCGTCCTGCTCCACAGGTGGGCTCCCATGGATCGGGGCAGTAGCAGCACTCACAACTGCAACAGCGGAGGTGGTCGCATTGCAGCTCGCAACATGAAAGGCCAGCAGTTTTCAATTTTCCGCTACCCTATCTGAAGGGTATATAGGCTTATGCATCGCAGAGAAAACGTATTCGAATAAGTATTTTAAGGACAAAGCTTAAACATATTTCAGACATTTGTTTGGTTTCAATTGTTTTAGCAATACAACTGAATTAAATATAAGGTATTTTCTTAATAATAAAACTGAATAACATATAAGGTATTCCTTTAACAATTAAACTGAATAAAATATAAGGTATTCAATACTTGTTCATATATTTGTTCATAATTTCAATGGTAACACGATTTGATTATGAACAAAAAGTATTTCGCTTCAGTTTTGGCCAGGTTAAGGTAAGGCAAGGCATTTTGGTCAGAGTCCAACCAAGTCGACTTCACACAAAGGACTTTCAAATCGGCCCGAGTGCGAATGCGGTTTTATTTCGATGGGATTGTGTCGCTCAATTTTTTCATACCGAGGCGACGCGCGGCAATAACATTAAACATTAACGAGCATGGCTAAATAAATAAATAACATAATCAAGAGGTTTGCCCGGGCGTCGGACAAATTGTGATCCGGGGCAGGTTTTGCTGGCGGATCCAGCGGATCCAGCGAACCGTTTCGATTTGCAACAGTCGCCGGTCGCCAGTCGGTGGTCGGACATTGCCGCGGATTCCCGAGTCACGTAGGCCAGTCTCCACAGAGCCACTGAGCCACTGAATCACCGAGCCACTGAACCACTGAGCACCACCACCAAGCACCAAGCAACAAGCGCAGCTCAGAGAGGCACAAAAAAGCATTCAAAATGAAAACCAAATCCGCAGAGGCGCTGAGAACGAAGAGTATGGATACACTAAGCAAAAATGTGCCCATTAACTAAAATGTTAATCAAATCAACTAAATGGATCAACTGTCCAGCCGGCAAGCAATCAAACATATGACACTTTATTTCAGTTTACGATCAACCAACCACCTGCATCTTAAGTAGGTTGATCGATTTTTTCGAATTAAAAACATTCGAAGCAATTAGGGGCAAAGATTGAAATAACTTCATATCCTAGTCCATTTATTCTATGAGCGTGCGTCTTATTGCACCAAATTGCGCTCTGTGCACAGATGCGGCAGATAAGCGGCCTCTAGACGATGATGAACTGCCGGCTGGACAGCTACATATACATGATGGACTGCCGTCGAATGGGAATATGGGAACCAGGGAACTCGGCACGGGGATGGGGTCGTTATTCCTTTGCTGTGGGAAACAAAACACCAGTCCGTTGTACCGCTCGCAATTTGCAAATTTAAATCAATGAAAGCGAAAGAATTCCACTAAAAGTACACATAAGTACATAGTATTACAACCAAAACAGAGCAATTTGCGAACGATCGTCGGCCAGAGATAGTGCTCTACTCTACTTTGGCCAATCTCTGAGTGCGATCGGATCAGGTTCGCCTCTAGGCAGATGGCCAACAGAGGTTTCCTGGGCCTGAAGCCCTAAATGAATTCATCCGGTTGCAAGTCTGTTAACTTGATCACTTGACGAACTTTATCGATAGGATCAGAGCAACGTTTCCGTTTAGTGAAATGGGGAATGTTAAGTCAAGCATACGTGCTATATATTGTAATAAATCAATGTGCTATCTAAAGACTGTTCCTAATTAGCAACTTAGTTTTAAATGCAATTACTTATAAATGCATTAGTCAAGTAATATGGGCAATAAAAACTTTGATTATACGCAATCACAGCACTAAATCATAAATTTAACAACCAACTATGTATTTACATCTGAATAGAAACATATTATTCGAACTGTGGAGGCTGCATAAGCAGCTACCCGTTAAATACAGACTGTTAATCATTTAATTTCACTAAACAACTGGAAGAATTCTTCTGGAATTCTACCAACCGATTGTCTTAATCTGCCCACCCAGCCAAAGATCACTCCGAAGAGCATTCTCCGATCGCAACCTCTTAATTGCGAAGAATGCTCATGGGGCATGCCGCAGATGACGATCGATCCATTATAGGGGCACTCTTATGCGGTTTAATTATCGCTGATCGGTTTAATTATTTCCCCCCACCCAATCGATCGTTGATTGTATGGCTCTGTTTTATGTCTTCCTCCGCTTCTTATTCGCTCCTAACTGACCTGCCCAAATGCGCAAATAGATCATAGAGAGAGAGCGAGAGAGCGATGAAGATCGGTGCGAAAAGCATTCAAGAGCCATTGAACCTGATGATAAGCGCCCCCAGAGAGGCTCTCTTCGGCCATCGCCTTTAAGAGAGCCGCAGAAGTAACGGGCGCTCGGCAACAGTGGGCCATAAAAAACAAATAAACGCAAACAACAAATGTGGATCGCTGCAAGCGACGGCGTTGTGTGAACACAATGGAACTGGTAAACAGAATCGAAAACGGGAATCAATTGCCGTCAACTAGCAACTGCAGCTGATAACATTGACTAAAAACTGCAACGGAGTTTTCTCTCCCACTCTCTGGAAGTTTTCCGCCACTTTCTGGTCGCTTATCAAGCCAGAAAACCGTTAAAATCGCCGTGCAAGTGGTGAAATACCAAAATTGGGTGTTTTCACCTGCGGCTGAAATGTTGATAACCTGTTTAATTATATTTTTCAAACGTTTGTTTACTCATAACTGCAGTTATTTCATCTTCCAATGGCGAAATATCGAAACTACGCATTTTACCTTAAATATTTACAACATTTCAGGGTTAATCCCTACTAGGTTTGTAATAAGTCCTCGCTTTGGTTATACAAAGTTTTAGCAGTAAAACATTCAAGAAAGCGTACATCTTTAAAAACAAATAGGTGTGCGAAACTTTCAGTATAGTATATACATACAATTATTATTCCACAGAATATTGTAATCCTTATGAGAGTAGTGGAAAATGTTTTAGAATCTATTTTTTATAACCAAAACGCACATAACATTACCAAAGATCATCATAAAAAACCAAAGTACAAATATTTCTTTGCTTCCTGGGGCCGCCCCAAAATGGATTTCATTTTTTTTAACCCTTTCCAGCGCTAATTGAGTTGTCAGCGATCTGCGCCTCATTTTCCAGGTGATTTAGGTGACTCATGTGACTGCAGAAAGGAGGCGGTGGGCGTTGGGCGGTGGGCGTTGGGCGGTGGGCGTGCCTGCGCCCAGTAGACATAGCCAATATATCTGGAGCTGCTTAGGCCGCTCACGTGGGTCGCTGTTTTTGTTTTTTCCCCAAGGGATTACGCCGCACTTCGGAAAATGATTGAGTGAAGGCGCGTGGGTGGGTGTGGAAAAGGGGGCGGTTCTGGGGGCCGGAAGGGGTGGTGTTGTTGGGTTGGCTGTGTTGGCCTCTTTTCTTGGATCAATGCCACATTGGGCACCTGATGCTGACGCAGATGTTTTTCAACAGATCTCCACGTCTCTCTCTCTCTCTCTCTCTCTCTTCGGCATATATGTTCGGTGTGCGTCAGGTGCAAAAAAAAAAAAAGAAAAAAACATCACCGAGTGTCTCCTGGCCATCTATTGGATCCCCTGAACAACGAACCATACTTGGACCACGTACTCCACAGACAAAAACACCAACAAATTAACAAAACTATGAAAAACAATCGAATGACAAGAAGATAACCACAAATATTCAACGAAAAATATATTAGGCAAGGCGGAATAGAGATTGACACGGTCTCGAAGCTTCAAGACCATCGAAAAATTTATGTGTTGCCAAATACAAGATGTTTTTATAAGACTTCAGCATCTTTTCCTCATCACTACTAATATACTCTAC